TACAAATATATAAAAATCTGCTTATTATTAAGGTTAAAAATATTTTTTATTTTTTGCACGGATGGTTAAATTGATGGCCTGTGAATGGTTAGTAAGCAAATTTATAATATTAATAATATTACTGTTATTATAATTATTATATTAATATCATTATTTTTATTTTGACTTTTAGAATAAAATATGGTGGAAAGAGAATTTGATTTGATTTGACATTCCTATTCCATCGCCTTCTGATATTCCTATTCCGAAAATTCCTTTAATTCCTTTATTTTAGGATGAACTAGTACGTACCCCGTGCGATGCACGGGCTGTATTATTCTTAGGGTATATTATTAATGGAAGTGCATTAATAAATAAAAAAATGAAATATTATCAATGAATTGTATTAATAAATAAAAATGTGATAATATGTAGGAAAATTATCAAACCATAAAAATATTTCTCAGAAAAGATATTATATTATTAAAAACCTCTTTGTACACAACAATATTAGTTTATTTATTGAGCAACTCGTCGTCCCATAACTTAATAATATTTTCAACTCATTTATATTACTTACACACGAAACAACAACATATAATTGACCATGACTAAAAACAGACTCTTCTTATACAAAACTAAAAGTAGGAAATGGTGCCGTTGGAACTTAAATGGAAACTAATATCGAAATACATGGCAGTTTAAAAATGCTATTAGTTTATCAATTTCATATCGATTATACTTGATTAGCTAAATAATATTTACTAATATTTTATATTGAATCATAAAATGTTCCTCATGAAAAATTATATATTATTAAAAACCTCTTGTAAACAACATTATGAGTTTGATTATTGGGTAACTCGTCATTCTCACAAACTAATGTCTTCAACCCCCTCCTATTAGTTACACGTGAAACAACAACATATAATTGGCCATGACTAAAAACAGGTTTCTTCAGGAATAGACCAACGTGCGATAAAGACTGTCCCTGACTTTTGTTTATGGTCATGGCATACGAAACCATAAGTGGGAACTGTCGCCGCTGGAACTTAAAAGGAATCATAGTTTCAGATGGTGTGATATTCATCCTAGGAATCAAGACATTCTCGCCAGCTTGATCTCCTGTCAATATCTTGCATTCGAGAACGTGGGTGGAGAGTTTAGTCACAACCAATCGCGTCTCATTGCACAACCTGATAGAATGGTCCATATTGCAAAACAACAATACCGAGTTCCTATCTTCAAGTGCAATTCATGGTTGATGCTATTCAAGAATTCTAGCATGTGGAGATCTTCCAAGAAATCATTGTCGGAATCCTCTTAGAAGTACTGTCAGAGATCAAGTACATACGACCTTTAGATGAATTCATATCGGACATTAAAAAAAACTTACTCCAAATGTTGGAATAGATATTTCTTGATGACGTACGTGACTCGATAATTCCACATACTACAATAAAAAAATACAACATAGTGACAAACAAAATTAATAAGAAAATAAAGTTTAAGCAAAATGTATTGTGTAAAATAAATAAATTATTTACATTTGAGATATTAGATAATGCCATCCGTTGAGAAGTCTCCAACGTATCAAGGGTATTTTGACGTTTATTTTGTGAATCAGGCATAACTGTAGAATGATGAGACATATTCTGTTCTGAAAATAAAAACATTAAAAAAATTATATAGATTATATATTACAATTGTGCATATGACTTAAAGACATAAAACATTTTTTCTTTTAAATACATACAATATATGTTGTATTTATATCCATTTGATATTACTTTATTTTCTCTTTATATATGATATAATAATTTATTTTTTGAATTAAAAAATTGATGTATTTAAGTATTATCAAATATGAAATTTATAAATTAAATAATACAATATATGTTTTTTACTTGTAATATTAATGATATACAATAACTGCTATAATTGGGCTGATTTATGAAATAATACAACATATTTATATAGGCCAATGAAATAGCATTAAATATATAATTAAATTGAAGTCTGTCCATTAGCAATTTAGCAGTGGTGTAAAGTCGGTCCATTATTAAAATTTTAATGATTCCGTCTGAATTGGGCCCAATACATTTCAAAAAATCTGGTCCATTATCATTTCGTTAAACTCGGTCAATAGACAACTATTAGCCTAGCGGGCGGCTAATATTAGTCAAACAATATCTAACGGCCTGAAATAAATAAAGCATGCTATAACAGGGAAAAAAACCCGATTTTTTAGGGTTTGTCATTTGTTCTCTCAGCTTCTTCTCACTTCTCTCTCCCATCGATTCATCTTTCTCGATCCTTCACCTGACCTTAAGTTTCATTTTTTAAATTTTGAACGAACTCAGCTCATGATAATCGATTTTTATGAGATTCTATGTCGATTACGACATATTGTTTTGAGCACGGATTCGAAAAACTTGATTTGGGATTTTCCAGTTTACTAATATTTTATTTTTTTTTTCATTTTCATCGATGTGAGTTATTGTTGGTCGAGTTTGATAAGAATCCAGTCGAATATGACCTGCTGAATATCTATGACACACCAGATTCAAATTTTTTATGAACGACTGAGGTCTTTCATTTTTTAATTTTTTTATTTTTTATATTCGAGATTATTGTTTAAAAATCGAAGGTTGTTTTTCCTTTACCGTATCCAGATCTATTGACTCGATGTTCACATATAATCTGAATAGACAGTCGGATTTCGAAAAATGGTAAAAAAAATATTATAGATCAGCCTAATATTAATGGATTTTATTCAATTTATAGATATTTTTATGATTTTTTTAGTTTGCTATCATTTTCTGTGAATTTTATTAAAATATATGACGAATCTGGTTTAATATTTTGAATTTTGTTTCAAATCCGAAAGTTTTGTGTCGAAAAAAATGAAATCCAGAAATGAAGTATCGATATTTTACTAAAGTATATAATTTTATTTATAAAATTTTTTGGATCTGGTATTTAATTAAATTTCAGACCGATTTTTAAAATTTAATTTGAACAGTAACTGTACTTCACATTCTTATAGTGCGTCCTGTATTTTAATTTTTTAATTTTTTAGAATGTCGAACTTTTGATCCACAAACACATAAGAATCTTGTTTATTCATTCGAATATCTTTCAAAATCAGTAAGTTCTACGTAAATGTAATATGAAAATTACTATTACAAACGATTAAAGTTCTATATCGATTTGTTGTTATTGTTCTGATTGAAACTAATGTGTACATCAAAATTATGTTGTATTTTTGGAACATTGATACCATATCAAATACTAACTCAGATCTATATTGCCGTATTGTTGTATGTTCTTAAACAAATGACTAACAATTAAAAAATGGATTCCTCGGGCGTCGACATTTTGCTATACTTCAGTAATGATTCAGGAACTGGAGCAAGAAATAAGGTAATTGAAAAAAAACATATTGTTTTCTTTAAAAATTTATCATATGATTATCTATGTATCATTGTTAAAGGTGAATAATATGACAGCCAAAGTGAATGAAAATAACACCAATAACAGGTATCCTTGTTCATATAGTAATATTTTTCAAATATAGTTTTCATAACAGAACTGTATTATTATTCCTCTTTGGATATTAATAAAGTACTTTTATAACTTAAATATTTTTCTTTATTTCATGGAATAGGATGATGAGAAGAAATGACAATCATATAAAAGTTTACATATTCACAACAAACTCAAAGGTAAACAAAGATAAATATAAAGTAGATAGATTTCATTGAAAAACTAAACTTTTCATATTATTTTCATGTATAAATTATAGAATTCAGTGTTAACAATAAAGGTATAAAAAAAAAAAAATTAAAGGTACTTATTTGAGATTTGTCATCAAATATGCTTCCTTTGATCTGAATTCCATTAAATGTGTTATGAGGTTCTCTAGCTGTTGTGGTATTCCCTCTTCTCTATCTGCTGTTTTCCCTTCCATTTCGTAGGCTAGATGTCCACTCATCCTTGTGTTTGTTGCTATTAAACATGAAATAGTAAGTATAATGTAATAAAAAATAAGTTCATGTTTACACCGGAAGTAGAGAGAAAAAAAAAAATTACAACATTCGTTTTCTGATGATGTTGTGAACAATGTCGTCGCTATTGGTCTTCCCTCCAATTCTTTTTCTGATGTTGTGAGTCAGTCTATATTTCAGTCAACACGTCTGCCAAAGAAAAAGGATGTCGTCATTAGATATTGGATAATATTAAAAAAAGATATGCTAATTACAAAATACGATTTGTATGTGCTGCCTAGTTATTTGTGATTCGTTCAAAGTAACATTAGAAAGAGTGCGTTCTTTTATTTTTTATTTTATGTAGAAGGAACCGCGAGTATGAGTGTGAATGTAATACGATGAATGCATTAGAAAGATAGGATATTTATAATGATATGAATAATATCACGTTGTTGTATGAGTTCGAATATACGACTTTATTCAAGACTGTTAATGTTAATATTTATATAGGTTTGATTCTTCTTCATACGAAGATTTGGGGATTTAAAGATATTTATGAGTTTATGGATTGTACTAATCCTTTTAGAGAATAATATTCGAATTACGTGATTATGAATATCCCGTAAATTCCGATCGG